GTTCTGACGCCTTGTAAATGCACTTGTTTCCCTTCTGTCTTGAATGCAATGGTCTTCTCCTGCCAGTGTCAGTTCATGGGGCTGTGAGCGGCCAGCCAGTCGATGCCCAACACCCCATCGTAAGCGCTGAGTGACAGCACCCACAGATTAGTGTGGAAAGTGTGGTCGGGCACTTGCCATTCCAATCCTCTTACCAGTTGATTGCAAAGCAGTCGTTGACCGTTGGCGACGCACACTGAAACTGGTGGTAAGTTCTCTGTCGGAACTTGCAGTCGGGCGAGGAAAGTTTCACTGATGAAACTGTGTGTGCTTCTTGAATCCACCAAGAGTAACATGATCTGATCCCCCACTTGTGCTCGTAGGCGAATTGTAGAGGGAGTTTCTTCGCCTGACAGAGCCTGGTGCGATAGTGAGCAGCATTCTGGCTCCTGTGCTGCCGGTGGATCAAGTAACTGAAGTGCGTGAACGGTGTCATCAGACAAAATTTCGCCGAAATCACCCACTTCGATCATCAGAATCTGGCCAGTGCGTTTGCACTGATGCTCCCTCGAATATTTGTCCCCACAGCGAAAACAGAGGCCATTCACTCTTCTGAATTCGCGCAACTGGCGCTCCCGTGCGTATTCATCTCCCCCTTGCTTGGGTACGGCTGCAGTGCGAGCTGGAACAGAGATTGCTGCTGCTGCAGGTGGCGGTGGGCGGTCGACTGGTGTGATGCGCGGACGCTGGAAGCACTACTTCTCCAGTTCTTCTTCCTGAATGCGAGCGAACACGGCTGCGTGAGTGATGCTGGTTGGTGCTTGCAGTCGCACTCCCAGTCGCAGCTCATCTTTGAGGTCGATCAGGAACTGAGAGATGAAAACTTGGAGCTCAGGGTTGGGTCCAGGGCCAGCAAATGGTACATTGCGGTCTCAAATTGCTGCCTATATTCCTGCACACTGCCTGTCTGGCGTAACTGAACAAAGTGATGCATCTGAACCTCGAATTCTTCTAGACCGAATTCCTCTTGCACCGCAGCTCTGAATGCTTGCCACGAGATGCCAGGGTGTGTCTGCCGGTAGGCCTGGAGCCACATCGCGGCCAGGCCGTCCATGTACAACGCTACGGTGGTGACCCAGCTGTGTTGAGGCACTCGGTATAGCTCGAAGTAGGTGATGCAGTGGTCCACCCAGATGCGAGGGGCGTCGCCGTCAAACCACGGAAAATCATGCTTCGGCGGCTTGATGTAGTGGTCGCCGTGGCGGTCGAGCTCCGAGGACGACGGTGATCGCGCGGTGAGCAACGGTGGCCCGTGGTTGACGAGTCGGGCGAACGGAAGCTGGGACGCGCCATCCGTGTAGAGAGGTAGCGGCGGCGGACGAGTCGGTGGTGGTGGTGGCGGAGGTGGTGGAGGGTGCGCGGAGGAGTCCGCGGTGGCTGTGACCCCTGATGGAGATGCGCCTCCGGAGATGGTCGCCGCGGGATCGACGGTCGGCGCAGCCTTGCGGCCCTCGTCCACGTCGGCTTGCGTGAGGTCGATCTGCTTGGAGAGGAGCTTGATCTTGGCAGAGACCTAGTCATTGTAGGTGATCTGTGCCTGGTGGCGCTCGTCGGCGGTCTTCTGGTTGGCGTCGAGGCGGCGGATGACGGACTCGAGCAAGCTCTGCAGCTTGTCCGTAGTCTCCGACATGGCGTCGAGCACGCGGCGGGCCTGCGCCGAGGGCTTGGATGGTGGTGCCGTGGTTTCGCTAGATCAGATCGAACCTCGGGCAGGATTTTGTGCGAGCTCGCCGGAGCGGCGCGCACCTGACCCGGTGGATGTTATCGATCGATCGGGGCCAACGGCGGTGGTGGGGAAAATTTTGGCTCTGAATACCAGATTGTCACGTCCCGATCTGAGAGATTTGGAGATGAGAGTAGGGGAACGGGAGGAGGAAGAGAGAACGGGTTAGGTGAGAGCGAGGAGAGCAAGGCGAGGGGAAAGTAGCTCAATACTTTTCTTCATGCCCTCTCATCAATCGTTCGGGTACAAGTAGGCCACAATTGACGTCACACACACGCAAACACTTGGCTTCACACACACGCAACACTTGGTGACGGGCCCAGCCTCCAGCTCGGCGATGATTTGGTCGTTGCAAGTGCACTTGCACTGGATCAGTCCGCTGCAGGCTGATCTGCAGGCGTGACGCCGCTCTAGTTTTGCTGGCTTCTTCTTGTACGTATCTACTGTATAATCAGCACACACGCCTCTAATACCCCGTCATATTCCAGTAATACTAAATGTCCATCTCATATTAACCGACGCGGCTGTAGAACTCCAAAAAAAAAACCCACACACAAAAAACTAACCTAGAAATAGAGAATCAAGCATTAGAAATCCTCGAGGCAAATAAATCTGTAAGAAAAATGCTGGATTGCCTGATGAGTTTATGACATCTGTCTATGAAATAAAAAAGACATCTATCTATGAAACTTGTCAGTCCCCAAGTATGCTAGTACTATTTTAAGTTACGTGATAGATTTAAGAGAAGATTCTTTTATCAACCACCTGAATGCCCCAGAAAGAAAGACCGTAAAAATGAGATGAAGAAAAGACTGGAAAATATATTTTTCCAGCCTCGCGTTTTTATTTTTGAGCATCCTTTTCCAGCCTCGCGTGTGTAGCCTTTCACGCGGCCTGGTGGTGTCTCGGGCTCTCGGCTCGACCTTCCCGCTCGCGAACGGCGTCCATGTCATCCTACCTCTCCCGCTCAGCCCAAACTCTCTTGCTCGCCACCGCCTCCGCCTTGCTTGCCAGTCCTCCCCCGGCGGTGCTGTTTGTCTCGTCCTATGCACGATGTGCGGCTGTTGGTGCGCGTGCCGCTTCCGTGTTCGGGAGCGCGGACGAGGTGTTCGACGGAATGCTCCTGCGGGTCGGGACTACAGCTGGCCTCGTAGCCTTGCAGGTAAGGCTTGCTCTGTTCCTCTGTTCATTATTGCAAATTACAATGGCGTCTGAGATCGATTAATACAAGGACTAGCAGACATCGGTGCTTGCCCAACTTCACTGTCAGAATAACTGAAGGTAGGTGGGTGACAGAGAAAGAGAACGGCTAGCAATCAATAGAATTAAGTGGCCCAAGAAATTCATTGGTACTATGTCCTTTCTACGACTTGTCTGATCTAATGATTCGTGTTTTCCACACACAGCTGTCTCTTTACGATCGAGTACACTGATAGAACTACAGTGATGATACTAGTCAGCTACTTCTTCCTTCTTTATTTCGTATATCAGTTTTGTCTTACGTCAAACATTTTAAAGTTTAACTCGGTGCTAAATATATAGACCTGCCTTGCGGGCAGCGTTTTTAGCTTCCAACAACAACAATATGCTCTTGGATGATAGTAAAATCATGATTAGAATTTAGAAGTAGTACCAGAAACATACAGCGGGGGCATATTTTTTGAACAACGATTGGGCAGCCATATGGTCGTTGCCCAAGGGCGGCCTTCCGACCTCACTACCAAAATTATATTTTCGTGCTTGTCACAACTACGAGGAGTTAAAATGTTAAGGCCCGCAAGTAAACAGGAACCATTCTAATAATCGGATCATACTCCTATTAAGTGAAGGTAGGTGTGTATGAGAGAGAATAGGGAGGTTAGCAATCAATAGAATAGAGTGGCCCAAGACACTATTTATGTCCTCTACAAATTGTCCCATCCAATAATTCATATTTTCCACCGACAATTGCCTGCCTCTTTATGATCGTCCACGATCACTAGAGCATCTTTAGTCCTTCCTCTAAAAATTTGTAACTCTGTAAATACTGTTTTATAGGAGTTAAAGATCATCTAACCCTTCTCCTAAAATATTTACGGAGTTAAGAGCATGCAACCCTTCCCCTAATATTTGAGGCCGAGGATGCCGAGTGGGAGGATGAGTAGATGGAGGTGGATCGTCGAGGAGTCCCATCACCTCGCCATGCGCCGACGCCACGGCGAGGGCCACCTACACGACGAAGGTGAAGGAGGCCGATGAGTTATACTCTTATAGCCTTTTATTGAGATTATTTTTTCGAGAAAACGCAAATGGCCTTTGCGTTTCATTGCATTGGAAAGATAGGGAATTTACATCCCCCTAGGAGGCAGATTTACACAGTTGTCGGATGATCAGTGGACATACCATGATGATGGCAAAACGACCCTAAGCCCTTGAGATTATTTGAGGCCAGGTATATAGGGCCTAATAGTTATTTTGAGGTTTACTTTAACCATCAATAAGATTAATAATATATGCATGTAAGCAAGCTTATAGCCTCTTATTTTACTCTTATTATAGCCCGCTTAAATCATTTTACTGCGTTTGCTCTTCCTTCCTTGCCGCTATAGGGTGGGTGGTGACTATCAATTGGGTGGGCCAATTTGTCCCAACCAACGATTCATGTTTTCACAAGAGAGTGAAAACTCCACCGATCACACGGCCTCTATGTAAAAGCAATGTCTGGCCAGGATCATGTACATCTGCAGACCACTGATGAGTGATGAGATCAGATGACTCGTCACAGTCGCGCCACCGCGTGCTTAGTAGGAAAGACAATTATTGCTTAGCTCGTCCCTAGCCATTGGTTTGGGTTGGGTTAACTTTGAAGTAGATCTACCATTGCTTCAGTTGATTGGGCTGGATAGAGTTAACTCGAGGTCCCTGCCCAGGGTCTATATAAATCCCATCTCCCATATCTCCCCTGCGCCTACACACATTTCATCCCTCTCTACTCCAATACTCCGGCCATGTCTCTGCACATCCACCAGCTCTGCATCTGCTAGCAAAAAAAGTAAGCTCCACAAAAGAAGAGAAAACGACCACTCTGCATTCCTCCGTCGAAGCTCGTCGCCTTGGTGGCAGGAGGTTCGTATCAGTAATTCAGCACGCACATCTTTCGTCAAGTTTATGCTCCTTCAGGCTAGTCCTCCTCTTGCAACAAACAATTGACATCACCTGTACCTACTGCAGGTGACTTATTAACTGCATCTGCATCACCATGGACTTCGCCGTGGACGCGGCGCTGTGGGTGGTTGGCAAAGCGCTGGCACCCGTCACGGACGGCCTGCTGGAGTCATGTGCGGCCAGCACCGAGCTTGGCCGCAACATCGACGCCCTCAAGATGCAACTCCTCTACGCACAAGGGATGCTCGACAACGCGCAGGGTAGGGACATCCGCAGCCCTGCGCTCAAGGAGCTTCTGCACAAGCTGCGGGAGCTGGCGTACTGTGCCGACGACGCGCTCGATGAGCTCGACTACTTCCGCATCCAGGACGCACTTGACGGCACATACCATGCCGCCAATTTGGATTCCCAGAGCTGCGTTGACAGGATCGCCATCAATGCTCACCACACCGCCAAGGCTGCGGCCAATAATCTCAAGTGCTCATCATCCTCTACCCGGGCTGATCCCGACGATCAGGAAGATGGTGGCAAACGAGGATGCCTCTCTGTCGTTGGCTCGTGTGGGGAGCATGAGATCAGCTCCTCACGACCGCCACCCACCACCCAGGGAGTCCAGGAGGTTGATGGCGGATGCATGCCTAATGTCGTCTCTTGTGCTCGCACCGCTGCACAAACTATCGGTAAACACTTTCCGTGCTACTCTTTCCCGTCTGTCTGCGATGATGATGCGGACACCGTCATGGTGAAATCCTCCAATATGACAGGGAGTGGACATCAATATGTGCTACAAGGAGATCACGCCATGCAAACACGAAAACTGAAGTTTGATCGGGTCGTAATTTCTACAAAAATACTGGAAATAATAGAGCAGTTGAAACTTCTGTGTGCTATGGTCTCCACCATTCTCAATCTAGAACTACTTGGCTCCACACGTATCCCCCCTGCCCAAGACATTACTATGAACCGACCCAAAACCACCCCAAATATTATAGAGCCTGAGTTGTATGGGAGGAATGACCAGAAAAAGGAAATCATTGATGACATTACAAATGGTAAATATTGTACCAATGAACTTACCGTAGTTCCACTTGTTGGTCCAGGAGGTATTGGGAAGACAACACTCACGCAACACATATTTGCAGAACTGGAGGGTTCTTTCCAAGTTTCAGTTTGGATATGTGTATCTCTAGATTTTAATGCAGATAGGTTGACGCAAGAGATTGTGAAAAAGATCCCTGAAGTGAATGATGAAAAGGCTAATGCTACCAATCAACAGCTAATTGTACAAAGATTAAAATCTAAGCGGCTTTTACTTGTTTTAGATGATGTGTGGACATACCACGAGGATGAGTGGAAAAAATTATTAGCTCCATTAAGTCATACGGGGGGAGAAAAGGGTAATGTGGTTATAGTCACTACACGGATTCCAAAGGTAGCAAGTATGGTCACCACAACTAACTCTTCAATTGACGTCGGACGTCTAAGTCATGAGGATACTAGGTCTTTCTTCGAAGTATGTGTATTTGGTGACCAACGACCATGGGAAGACCATTCTGAATTACGTGATGTTGGGAATAGAATAGTAACAAAATTGAAGGGTTTCCCTCTTGCAGCAAAAACAGTAGGTAGATTGCTAAGAAACCAACTTACTTTGGACCACTGGATAAGAGTTGCAGAAAGTAGAGAATGGGAATTACAGACCAATGACAATGACATTATGCCAGCTCTAAAGCTTAGTTATGATTATCTCCCTTTTCATCTACAACAATGTTTTTTCTATTGTGGGCTGTTTCCAGAAGATTATGAATTTAGTGCCAAAGAGTTGGTTCACTTTTGGACAGGATTAGGCATTTTACGACCACTTGATCAGGCAAAAAGAACTGAAGATATTGCACTAAGCTATTTAAACGACTTGGTAAATCATGGTTTTTTTTAAAATAATAAAAAAGAAAATGGTCCTCATTATGTTATCCATGACCTACTGCATGACTTGGCGGTGACGGTTTCGTCATATGAATGTCTTAGCATATATAGGGGTTGTTTGGATACAGGGAATTAGATGTGAGATTCTAGAAAACGAGTTTTGGGAGGATTTTTAGGAAAACCAGTTTTGGTTAGTTATTCTGTTAAGGTAAGTATACACAATACCTTGTTTGGATGAGAAAAATAGAAAAAACTCGATTTTGAGTTCCTCTCAAAACAATTCATGGAGGCACGGTGCTTCGGGTTGCTCTTGGCACCTACACGCACAGCGGTGGACAACCACACCGGCCAGAGGGTGCGTGGCCATCGCCGGGGCCGCCGGGTGGTCGCGCTGCTCGCCTTATCGTGCTCTGCTTCGTTCGCCGGTGTCACCCATGTTGCCTCAGGTTCCCATCGAAGAGGCACGTACATGCAGCTCACATACGGCTACACGGCCTAAAGCACCATGATTGATTCTCAGGCCGGGCACGCATGTAGCAGTAGCACCTAGCTAGCTGCTGGATTGATTCGCCGGTAACACCAGAGCACAACACACATGCTAGGGAGGCGCGACGACTACGTACAAGCTGGAGCATATGGACGACGACGGTGGTTGTGAAGCGGCCGATGAACACGACGGCCGCCGGCCGAAGTCCGCGTCCGCCATGGAGGCTCAGGGCTAGATGGAGCATCGCAACCTGCTCCGGCTGCCTGGCCGAGATCGGCAGCGATGTCTTTTGGCTTTGTCAAGCTGCCGTCACGGCCGGCGGAGTTTACCATGACCAGCACGTCGGACTTGGTCGATCTCGTGATGCATGTAGAAAACGCGTTTGTATAAAAACGTCAATTAGTGGTTTTTGTATAAACTGGGTTTTTGAGCTTTTGGAAAACTCAGTTTAGTATATCCACGAGTTAGTTAGACGATCCAAACAATGTTTTAGGTTGTTACACCAGAAATCAGGTTTAAGGAAAACTAGTTCTCTATAATCTAGGTATCCAAACAACCCCTTAACTTGCGAACCATACACATTCCTGCATCCGTGCGTCACTTGTCCATCATCGTAGATAATACTGATGTCGAAGATATAACCACTTTTAAAGAATACAACAGTTATTTGAGTGCAGTAGTTAAAAGATTGAAAGCTCAGAACTTACGCACTTTGATGTTGTTTGGTGAATACCATGGAAGCTTTGCCAAAACTTTTAGGGTTTTGTTTAAAAAAGCTAGAGCCTTACACACTATTTTTTTTCTGGATTATCATATTCTGTGGATGATGTGTTGCCGGACTTTTCAGAACTTCTACATCTCCGCTACCTAAGGATCAAATCAGTGCATAATGAGGACATAAGCTTGCCTAGTGTGTTGTTTAGGTCCTATCACTTGGAGGTCATTGGTTTAGAAAATTGGGGTGGCCGCTTTGCTTCAACAAGTCAAATGAGCAACCTGGTAAAACTGCGTCATTTTGTTGTGCCCGAAGATAATCTTGAACTTCACTCTAGCATATTCGAGGTTGGGAAACTAAAATTCCTAGAGGAAGTAAGAAGATTTGAAGTGGGAAAAGAAACTAAGGGTTTTGAATTAAGTCAACTAGGAGAACTGACAGGGCTGGGAGGATCACTTGGCATTTATAATCCTGAAAAGGTACAGAAAAAGGACGAGGCAAATGAACTAAAACTAATACACAAAAAACACTTACACAAGCTAATACTAGAATGGTCTTTTGATAGACCTAACAAGGAGGCAGAACAAGAAGAAAAGGTCATCGAAAGTCTTGTCCCACATAGTAATCTTCAAGACCTATGCATTAGAGGGCATGGAGGTGCTAATTGCCCATCATGGCTGGGCAGGTACCTCTCGGTTGAAAATTTAGAATCGCTTTCTCTGTGCAATGTATCTTGGAGCACGCTTCCCCCTCTTGGGGAGTTGAGGTTTATTGATGACTGTGGTGAAGAGTGTAAGGGTTTTGTCTTAAGCCAACGTTTCCAAATTTTGAGAAGGCTAGAATTAGTTGGGATACCAGGACTAGCAAGATGGATTGGAAATGGCAAATGTCATTTGTTCTCTGTTCTAGAGGTGGTCATCATTGAAGATTGTCCTGAACTGGTGGAGTTGCCATTTTCCCACCCTAGTTGCCATCAAGCGAAGCAAGAGGAGAACATGACTTGGTTTCCGAAACTAATGAAGCTCAAGATTATACGCTGCCCCCAATTGGCGTCATTGCCTCCAATTCCTTGGACCGAAGCGCCATGCTCAGTTGAGATAGAACAAGCAGGATCAGTATTTGAGAAGCTAGTGTACTCCAAGAACTACAAATCGGAATTGAGTTTGCAAGTTAAGGGAAAAGATGGTCAGCATGGCGTGTTGTGGAACGGGTTGGCTTTCCATAATCTAGCTGATCTGAAAGAGCTGCGGGTGGAGAAGTGCCCTCCCCTGCCACTGATTCACCTCCAAAAGCTAAAATCTCTCAAGTCCCTCAAGATGACCGGTATGAGCAACTCGTTGCTGCTGTTTGAAGGTGAAAGATATAATACTGAATGCCCGCTTTCAGTTGAAGAAATAGAGATCGAGCACTGTGGTGCTGATGGAAGGAACTGACACAACTGTTATCTCATTTCCCGAAGCTCACTAAGTTGGAAGTGAGTAGTTGTGAGAAGATAACAGAGATTGGCATGGCGGAGCTTCAGATGGGAGTATTTAACCAAAAACTACCACAATTCACGGAACCGTGACGAAAAACTACCACTTTACGATTTTGTGCGAAAAACTACCGCTTTTTTCCTAAACCGTGGCAAAAAACTACCAAGTCTGAAAAGAGCCCGACTTGGCTCTTTTAAGCGCGTTTCTGACAGAGTTGGCCCACACTTAAGCGGGCTAAAAAAGCAATTGGGTCCCTGTTTTTTTTTTCAAAAAGCAATCCAGTCCTTCCTTCGAAGCCCCGCACGGCGAGGAGGAGAAGGACCCGATTGCTTCCCCAGCCGCTTGCCGCCGGCGGACGGGAACGGCTGCTGCTGCGGCAAGTCCACGTCGTTGTCGAGGCCCGGCGGGAACGGCTGCTGCTGCCGCTCCTGACGTTGTCGTCGCGCCGCCGGCGCCCGTCTCGATGAGCCGGCCGCGGGAAGCGAGAACGGCCAAGACGCCGGTTGACCGCCCCCGCGTGCGGAAGAAGCTCGTCGGCGAGGGCACGACCACGGTGGGAGGCACCGCGGCGGAGGCCAAGCCCGAGGCCAAGAAGGAACGCAACGAGGAGGAGAAGCCGAGGCCCTCTACCGCCGCGACCGAGGTCGCTCTGGGGGCTGTAGAACGTGGGCATCGACAGCAGCAGATCGAGGCGGCGATGGCCTTCACCGGGGGCGGAGAAGATGAAGTATCCGGTGGCGCGACTGCATCTGGAAGAGATGGTGGCGACCTGGAGGCGAGGCGAGCGACCAAGCGGCAGCCTGGGGCCTCCCCGCGGCGCGACCTGCAGGCACGGCGAGCAACCGGGCGGCGGCTGGGGCCTCCCCGCGGCGCCCTTGGCTTCGCCGCAGCGCCACCGGGCGGCGGCCTAGGGTCTCCCCGAGGCGCATCTGGGCCGGCAGTACTCCAGCGGCGCCTGGCCCCGCCGCGCCCCTGGCCGTGCCCATGGCCGTCTGGCCTCGCCGCGCCCCTGGCTGCACGCCCGTGGCCGCGCGCCTGGCCCCGCCGCGCTCGCCCGCGGGCGCCCCACTCCCTGCCCGCGCTCTGGCCGTGTCCACCCGAGCGACGCCGCCGTGGACCACGAGAGGGACTCCGTCGAGCTCCTCCTCGCGCGCCGCTGCATCGAGCGAAAGGACTGGATTGCTTTTTGAAAAAAAAACAGGGACCCAATTGCTTTTTTAGCCCGCTTAAGTGTGGGCCAACTCTGTCAGAAACGCGCTTAAAAGAGTCAAATCGGGCTCTTTTCAGACTTGGTAGTTTTTTGCCACGGTTTAGGAAAAAAGCGGTAGTTTTTCGCACAAAATCGTAAAGTGGTAGTTTTTCGTCACGGTTCCGTGAATTGTGGTAGTTTTTGGTTAAATACTCTTCAGATGGAGATGACGACACCATCATATTTAAGTAATGACATTGAAATTGAGCATGCAAAAGCAGGGCACCATCAGACAAGACGGGAGGAGGTAGAAGATGCAGCAGCAGGAGGAGGTCTACTGCTCCTGCCTCGGCAACTACAGGAGTTGGTCATCTCTGGTTGCAGAGAGCTGCGGTTACTCTCCGATTCACTTGTCAAGGACAGCACACACGGAGGAGGGCTCCAGAGTCTTTGCTCCCTCCAATCGTTGCGCATATATGATTGCCCCAGGTTCCTCTCGTCCTATTCATCCTCCGCCGCATCTTGTTTCCCCTTCCCGACCTCCCTGCAACAACTCATGCTGGAGGGCGTGGAGAGCATGGAGACGCTGGCTCCCCTCTCAAATCTCATCTCTCTCACCGCTTTATTCGTGCGTAATTGTGGGGATCTAAGAGGCGAGGGCTTATGGCCTCTCGTCGCCCAGGGCCGACTCACAGGATTACTCGTCACTGAAACCCCCCAATTCTTCACTGGTTCTGAGCCCTCACGGCCACATGACCAAGAGATTCCTTTCTCTTCATCCAAACTCCAACATCTCTGGACAGATGACTTGGCAGGAGTCCTTACCGCGCCCATATGCACACTCCTCTCTTCCTCCCTCACCAAATTAATTTTGTATGCCAACAAAGAGGTGGAGCGCTTCACAGAGAAGCAAGAGGAGGCCCTTCACCTCCTCAATTCCCTCCAGGAACTCAACTTTTGGAAGTGTTGGAAGCTGCAGCGCCTCCCTGCAGGGCTAACCAAGCTTGCCAGCCTCAAGATATTACACATTTGGGGGTGTCCAGCCATCCAATTGCTGTCCAAGGACGGACTACCAAGCTCTCTGCAAGAATTAGAGATCAGAGACTGTCCTGCCATCAAATCTCTGCCCAAGGACGGCCTGCCAAGT